AAGTGTTGGCAGCCGCTGCTCTGAACGCTGAGGGTCACTAGGAGTGAAGACGGAGCGGTGCTCCTAGGTGAGCGCTGTGAGGAGCTCCCGAGCAGCAGCACTTGTCTCGGAGCCCGGGCTTGCTCCGAGAGGAAGGGATGTAACTTTAGTGTGGCAGCGAAGCTGCTGAGGCACTGGGATTGCGAGGGATGTGAACCGGCAAGGAAGCTGCTGACGGAGGAAGGAAACTCTGGAGGTTGGAGAGGGGTTATCTTGCCAGCCGGTGTGGCCCCGTGTGCTGGGATGCAGGCGTGGGGGTCCTCGGCGCAGCGTGACTAACCTGGGGTGGTGGCTGTTGTTGTAGGTATCTCCCTGCCTGCCAGTGTTGTCCCGGTTGTTGTTCAACAGTGACTCTGACCTGCTGGCAGATGCCTGCTGGGCTCTTTCCTACTTATCCGATGGTCCCAACGAGAAAATTCAAGCAGTTATTGACTCGGGGGTGTGTCGGCGACTGGTGGAGCTGTTAATGTAAGTACCTTGTCGGGCTGCTTGGGCCCAGCGAGGCTGGGAAGCGTGTGTCACTGGGCTGCTTGGGCCCGGTGAGGCCGGGAAGCATGTGACGGGGCAGGAGTTTGTATCGGAGCACTCCTCACGCCTCGTGCGCAGGGATCCGGGCAGGAGGTACCTTGGCTGACTGGGGAGCAGTTCCGTAGGAGGGTCTGAAGCGGGGAGAGCGCTGTAGTTTACCGTCTGTCCTGAGAGGAGCTGAATATTTGGTGGCGTGAGGCTGGACAGACACCGCAGTCGGAAGGAGAGGGAGCTATGGAGTGCCTTGTGCCCTCAGTCTTCAGAAACCCTTTTGGAGCCCAGTTACGGGGCAAGTTGGAGATGAGGGGAATAGTGCCTGGCTTGGCTTTGTTCCTCTGATCTACATGGAATCTGGAGCCAAAGGTTTGCAGTTTGAATGGGCCCCTGACATCCTCAGATCTGGTGGAATGGCAAGATGCTTGCTTCCAGCATGATCCTGGAAACTTGTGGGCGTTCCCGTTGGGTTGCGGTCACCCTCGTTCGGGGAGGCGGTGTAAAGAGGGCGATCCCTACTCCAGCCGAGGCGACGGAGGTAGGGTGAACGCTGCGAGTCTGCCCTCAGTCTCTGCCGGCCCGGCAGGCGGCGGAGCTCGAAGTAAATAAATAAAGCCGGTGAGGTACTGGGGAGAGAATCTTCTCCATGTCCAGGTGCTGGCCACCCGACGAGATCTGGTTTTTGCCCGCTCTCCCTGCAGGCACAATGACTACAAAGTGGCCTCCCCAGCTTTGCGAGCGGTCGGCAACATCGTGACGGGGGACGACATCCAGACCCAGGTGAGGGGACGTGACTGTCCCGCAGGGAAACGCAGCGCCCGTGTAGCGTATCCCCCGTGGGAGAAGGGAGAGCCTGGAGCTCCGTGCGGTGATCTCACCCTCGCCTTCTGCTTGGACAGGTCATTCTGAACTGCTCAGCCTTGCCTTGTCTCCTTCACTTGTTGAGTAGTCCCAAGGAGTCCATCCGGAAAGAGGCCTGCTGGACTATATCCAACATCACGGCCGGAAACAGGGCACAGATACAGGTACAGGGCCGGAAGCGTTCCTACAGCGTCCGTGAAGCGATAGGGACTGGCTGCTGTGCTCGTTCTGGGCGGGAATCTGGTGTTAGTAGGATTTGGCTGAGGCACAAAATATGGGAATCGCTGGGGGGTGTAGCCCGGGAAGTTCTCTTGCATGGAAAAGGGAGGTGGAGGTTGGTTTCAGGCCCTCTATAACCTTCCAGAGGGCGTGTTGCCAGCTCGGGCGCTGCTGCTGCTCTCTCCGCAGGCAGTCATCGATGCCAACATCTTCCCGGTGCTGATAGAGATCCTGCAGAAGGCAGAATTCCGCATGAGGAAAGAGGCAGCGTGGGCTATCACCAACGCGACGTCGGGAGGAACTCTGGAACAGATCAGGTGTTGCCCACGGGGGAAACTTGCGCGCGGTGGGGCCGGCGAGGAGCGAGGGACCCTCCGCCCCCCGCGGGCGATGGATTTGGGAGGGAGTTGGCGGGTTTAAGAGCCGGGGTGTTTGTACAAGTGCAGGGGAGTGGGTAACAATTAACCTCAGCCAACAAAAAGCGTGTTTGAGGGTCACTTTGTGTTCAGTTTGAGTTCCCCCACCCCTCAGCTGAGCAGAGGTGACGCTCGCTAGACCCTGAACGCGTGTCGGTGGTCGTCTTCAGGTACCTGGTCAACCTGGGGTGCATCAAGCCCCTGTGCGACCTGCTGACCGTCATGGACTCCAAGATCGTTCAGATGGCGTTGAACGGGCTGGAGAACATCCTGAGGCTGGGAGAGCAGGAAGCCAACCAGAGCGGGACGGGCATCAACCCCTACTGCAGCCTGATTGAGGAGGCCTATGGTAGGTGGTGGCCTCGGCGCTTCAACGCCGTGGGACGTGCGGGAGGGCGTCTGCTGTCTTGGGGGGCTGGCGTTGGCCCCTTCAGCTGGGCGCAGGATAAAACACCATGAGACCTCTGATCCTGGCTTCCTGGACCTGGAGGCTCCAGCTGTGCTGTGCACCGGCTCTCCAGCTGTGCCGTGCACCAGCTGGAGCGTGGAGCAGGAGCGAGCCGAGCTAAGGACAGAGTGACACTCGTGGGTCCGAGACTGCTCTGACTGTACCCGGTTGCCCGCTGGAGGTGTACAGTGGGATCCAGAGCGACTCGGGTTTTCCCTGGAGAGACTTAAGCGGGCAGGTTCTTCGCCTGCTCTTGGTGCTCGGAGGAGCAGTCCCTAGTTTGGTCTGCAGCTCCCTGTATCCTGCTGCTGTCCGGTTTGTCCTCACAGCCTGTCCCGATCCTTCCAGCAGGAGTAACTCTTCAACTCCTGGAGCAGAATGTGCCCGGGTGCTTTCTGCTCGGCACTGGATTAATCGGGACAGCTAAAGCTGTTGCTGCCCTTCTGCTGGAGGCTGCTGGGATGGGCCCCTGCTTCCTCCCCACCCCCTGCAACCACCAAACCTCGCAGCTAGCTGTTTGTCGCTGAAATCCAGACCTGGAAGTGGGGCTGGGAGCACCCGATTCCGCTGTAGGAAAGGTGGAATCCCCAGGCAGCGCCGGAGGCGTCGGCTTTAGCGCTGGGTGCTGCTCAGGGCACAGGCCTTGCGGTGGGGGTGGAGCCTGGACGTGGGACAGGGTAAACACCAGGATCTCCAGTTTCACTGCATTCCACTTGTCTTTTTTCCCCCCAAGGTTTGGATAAGATAGAGTTCCTACAGAGCCACGAGAACCAGGAGATCTACCAGAAGGCCTTTGACCTGATCGAGCACTACTTCGGAGTTGAGGATGACTCCGCTCTCGCTCCCCAGGTCGATGAGAACCAGCAGCAATTCATCTTCCAGCAACCTGAGGCCCCCATGGAAGGTTTCCAGCTATAACGTGCCCCGGGGGGGGGGAAAGGGGGGGGGGGGGGAGAAAAAGCACCGCAGACCTGACGGGAAGCAACAGGGAGCAGGTGATGGTCCCATCCCCTCCTCACGAGTGGAAGGCTAAGACCCGCTGCACCCGTAGGGAAACTCTTCTTCCTCCGACGGACTCCACAGTGCTTCGTCCTCAGAGAAGGGGATGCTCTCCCGCTCTTCTCTTTTCGCTGCTGCGTCCATGTCTTCAGATCTTCAGAGCAGGCGTCGGGGAGGGGGAGGGACGCTGAGGCAACGGATCGCGCGCCTCCTGGGTTTTCTCCTCGGTGGGGATCTCTTCCCACGCATCACGTTTTTGCCTCGGGTACTTAGCTGAGGTTTTGGCACTGGGTTGGGATGAACACGAGTGGGTGGTTTGGTGTTTCTGCCCGCAGGAATTCTGGAAACCTGGTTGACCTATTTAATTTGTTTGCACATGTTACTCCAGTAAAGACTGCTAAGCTGCCGAGAGCACGGTTCAGCCTGGCCTCTGCGACCCTCCCTCAGCGGACAGCCCTGTTGCACCCGGGCCGAGTGCCACTGGAGGATGCTGGACACGGACAGAGGAAGGGGAAGCACTCCTGCTCCCGGGGAGGGTTTATTGGGGGAAGCTTCTTCCCTTTGTCTAGATTTATTTTTGGTTTGGTTTTCTTTTTGAAGAACTGCGAGTGGCATTTACAAGAGGAAAAATAAGAGCCCGGAGATGGTGACGATGGAGCGGGCAGGATGCCGGAGGGGTTTTTTGGAAGGGGTTTTGTTGGCGCTGCCG